GGGCTATAAATACCTCATCGAAGAGCCCCGTGTTGGTAGTTTTCAAATGCATATAGTACAGCCTAATTCTTTAGCAGTGGTATCAACAAACTGAATAGGAAGTCCCGTTGCCAGTCGGCTATGTGCTTCCCACGTCAAACACTTCTCTACGTGAGCTTTGCAGTCCCTAATGCCTACGCTTATGTATGGTTGACTGCGGAAACCATTAACTTGGGATTTTGCAGATATTGATTCTGAGCCAGCATGTAAAACTGCTCGAAGAACTGATGTACTGAGAGCACGAACGTGTGCACTCGGATGAGATACGCAACGAACTGTAGCTGGGAGCCGACACTGCATATATATATGATAAAAACCAATTATCTTACTAGTATTTTCACGATTGGGAAACTAATATTTTTGTTCGTACCAAAAACATATATTTCAAATGTGAAAGCTTTTGTACCTTCAACAGGTTTGAAAGGCCGTCTGCAACTGCCAATCCCGACTCTCCCCATTTAAGAACTGTTTGAACTGCTCTAGCTGTCACTTCCAGCAACTGTCCAATTTTTTTTCAGGTGCAAACAAATCAATAATCATAAAAATAAATATGACAAGAATTAATTTATCTGACAAATGCTGAAAAACACATTCAAATGTCGCATAAGATGAGATGTGATACCTCCAGCTGAGGTAGTGTACATGCTTCACCGTCAACAAGCATCCCATCGGTGGCACGAAGGAGGAGGTCTGATGCGCTGGACAGAATTACCAATGATTCTGGGGCATCGTGATTTCTCATTAACTCAACAATCACTTTCACGATTCTTTGGTTGACTTTCCACATCTTTTGACCAAGATCATCGTCTTTAGTGATCCAAGGCTTCAATTCCCTGTCCGCCTGATAAATAATGACAGCCGAAAAAAATTCAGTAAAATAAATATACAAATAAAAACAGAATCGACATCTGAGGTTTAAACGTGATTCAAGAAGAAAAAAATCTAGACCTGAAGAACAACAGCTGTTGCAGCTTTTGCTGGTGATGCTGAGACGACATTGACAAGGGCATCAACCACCTGTATTGTACAATCATAAGGGTATTAGGAAATTATAAATTGTTGGAAACACAAAAAACAATGATAAAAGTGACAGGCTAAATTGATCATATTACCTGCCGCCATCCTTGCTGGGCTGAGGTGCTTTCACCGCTCAGTTGTATTTCAGGTGATACAATCAGTTTGTGCCAGAGCAAAGAAACAACAGAGAAACACAATTCTTGTTTTTCCGAAAGGACGGACTTAAGAAGAACTTGCGCGCTGCAGTTAAACCCTATATGCCTGTCCATAGTCAAAAAGTTGGCCAAATCTGAAGCATCAATAGGGAAACTTGAAATTTCTTTGCCCGTGCTACATCTCTCAACCCCATCGGCTTGAGATTTTTCACGAGTGACCAAAGCTTCTGAACCAGACAACTTTTCACATGACGATGAAGATGGCTGTCCTGATTCTAAGCGGCAACAGCTAGCACATGTATCAGTTTTTTCCCCATGAAAACAGTTTGCCCTCGACAATGGGACATTTAGTAGGTGGGCCTCCAGCGGTTCTGCTTTGTTCACTATGGATGCAACAACTTTGCTATGAATATCAATTAAGTTGAAAAGGGAAGATGCCCTAGAATGAATTTCCTTGTCCCATTTGCATTTTATCAAGATTAAAAGAGCCCGCATGCAAGCCTTGGAGCGCTTAAACAGATCAGAAACATGAGCTGCAACCATTGCAGCAGCCACTATTTCATTCGAACTATAACTCCATGACGTTCCTATAGAAGATGGTTTCAAAGAGAAAAGTGCCTCTAGTATGGTTAATATTCTGCGCGTGTGATAAACAGCCGAGTCAATACTATTCTGAAACTCACTTGGTGGATCGTTTCCCTTCACAGGCTTAAGTACGCCAGATATATTTGCTTCTAGCTGACTACATTGTTTTGCGATAAGAGGGAAGATCTGAAGCTCACATGACAGAGCACAAACAGCAGCAATGACAAAGGAATCAAATGCTGCTATAGGCCCCTGTTTCTTCCCCTGTTTACTCCCCTGATCTCTATGCTTCCCATTGGCTCGTTGCAAGTCTTCACCTTCTACAGCACAAGAATCTTCACCTTTCGGTCGCTTGCTTCCATTAGGCTGTGCTTCGTGACTTACGCAGACAGTTAACACTACAAAAAGAAGGCGGGACGAAAGCTCTACAGAGGCACATGACTCTAAGAAAAGTGAGTGGACCATCGTGCGGAGCTCAGCAACAGCAAGATTTTTGAATGCAGAGCCAAAAACGTATCTTGTTTTTCGATTTTTTTCTCTAGTGGACTCGGGTGGGAATGTTCTCTGAAGAATTGCTTCGACGGTAGCAACAAATATCTTCATTAAACAGGTTTCGGATGGACTTCCACGAGGAAGATACTCGAGCACTTTAAGAAGAGGAATGTATAAGTTCCATGATAATATTGGTGGCTGCAAAGGCGTTGCAACTATGATTTCAGGAAGATCTACCGATGAGGAACTTAAAGGAATCAAGCCATAAGCAGCTTCCCATATTGTGCATATTCTCCATTCAACCTCAGGGCCATGTGCACAAAGCATTGACGCAATACCTTGTGCAGTAGCTTCGACTGTAGCTTCTGCTGCAGGCAATTCTCTTTGCTGAAATAATTCGCAGATGTTAAAAATGCATGAATTATTTGAGGAACAAAATGATATAGAGGAAATTATTCTGAGACTAAGAGATGAATTACCTGCTTTCGCTCAGATGATACGCAACCTCCTAGAGGTTCGTGTTGAGCTTCTATGCCCTCAACTTGTCTCAGTGGTGGGAAAAGTAAAGCTGGTTGAGAAAGTATTCGGAAAAGCAGAGCAGCTGCAGCATCTGCAGCAATTCCAGCTCTCATTGACATTGCAATCCCTATTGCTCGTAAGAAATGCAAGTGCATCCAGTTTCTTGGAAGCTACACAAATATTGCAACAATCAGCACGTCATATGGTTAATCATAATCGCATATGATAGATATTGCCTATGTATTTGGTTATCTCAATTACATGCTAGAAGTATTAAATTTAATGATAAAGATATTACACTGAAACTAATAACTTCAACTCTAGAATCTACGCGCATACGAATTTCATCATCATATTGTAAATTAAACCCTTTACCCAAATTTACTTCGTTCATATTAAAAAAATGGACAGAAGGTGAACAAGTATGCAACTTACCCTCATGCCGGAGGCATAGTCTTCTGCTGCTCTAAGGAGTTCCACTAGTTGCACGGCAGCATCAAGAGCATCAGGAGCCCAGGATGGTGGAGCTTCTAGAAGTCCAAGAAGCAGCCTCTGAGTGGCACTTGGACTTGCAATTGCATAATATCTGAAACAGAAGAAATATAAAGAAAATGACTTAAATGTGATTTAGCTTCTAAAAAAAATTGCTAAGGAACATACCGATGAAACAGGCGTGCATAGGGCTCAAGTGCTGGTAGTCCGGCAACTAGATGCTCGTCCATAGGTGTTGTTGGGGGAGGAAGCAGAAGTGCTGGGACAGAAGCTGCAGTCAGCGTGGCAGTCTCGTAACGAGCTACTTCGTCGTCACAAACACTAAGTATAACTCCAGCACCATTAGCAACAGCCCACCTTGGAGTTGATGGCACAAGCTGGGGATGCTTTCCAGATCCGCGAGAAAAAGCTGGTATAACATTTAAAATATAATTTATCCTTGTCCAAAAACATTTTCCGGGTATCTGTTATAACTCAGAGTTACTGGAAAACATAGTTGGATGGAACAAATAACATCTAATGTCTGTAATCAACAAGTGTCTGGCAAGCTTTAAAAAAAAACCACGAAAAAATTCCTTTTCAATCAGTTTGAAAGTCGGAATTTAAAACGAGAAGATTGTAACTATGCTAATCATACAATCCAAGGGATTCGAAGTTCGACTGAATTTTTGGGTTCATAGTCCAAGAAAACAATGGCAGCTTGGTCTTTTATCTTTTTATTGAAAATTTAAAAGCAAAAATATTGAAACACAAACTCCACTAACCAGTTGATGGTGGTTTGAGTTCTCCAGCTGCATATTTTCCCATGACACCTCCACACCTATAATGCATTGACCATTCATTAGTCAAGCAAACGGGTGCACATATGCAATAACTTCAGTACAAAAAAATCACATTTACACAGAAGGCACTACTCTTTTCTATCGCTCATAAATTCTAATCCGGTTAGTTTATATGGGGATTCTACCATATCGAAAAATATGTGATCATAAATACATCAAAACTCTGTTAATTGCACTTACCAGCGAAAATAGTCACTTCTAATACCAAGAGGTGCTGCAAGCAATATATCAGTAATCCAGGGAGACAAAGGCCTCAGCATTTTCCTCTCTAGCTGTGTAGAAGGCAAAGAAGGTTCTCCATCTGTTGACTTACTAGTCGAAGCAAGGGTACCACTGCTACTTCTATCTGTTTCATTTTCCTGACGTTCTCTCTTGTAAATTGGTCTATTGTAGTGAGTCAAAATTCGTAATATCTCCCCACATGCAAGAGCCCATTGCTCGGAATACTCATTCTGCAATTAAAGATGAGACCACAACCGTCAGTGACATGATACAATTGGGCATGTTTCAGATACATGAAACAAAACCTGGAGGAAAATAATAAAAGGCTAAAAGTGGAAACATATGCTCTGGACATGTAGGCATTAAGAGATAATTTGTGAAAACAGGCATCAAATTGATAATGTCTGAATACCTCGCTGTTGGGGCAAACCAGGGAAATGAACGAAGCAAATGGAGGACCGCTTCTTTTATATTCCACCAAACCATCAATAATACATGAAATAATGGGAAGAATAACAGCATGCCCATGCTCCGGATGGTGAAGAACAAACTTTGCTGGAAAGTGAAGCAAACACAGAAGTCAGTTGCCGTACAACTAATTTGGAAATGTTATACTTAAGAGGTGATGACTGGAGTGATTATCAATTCAAACATTATTTAACAAAACGTACCCAAAACATCATCAAAAAGCCTGTTCTGATCGGATGGATATCGGCTTCGAACCAGCTGCAAATGAGTAACAATAACAAGTTAGAAAGACTTCTCTCTGCGTACTTGACAGTTGAACAGGCAACAAAGAAATAAATATTCAAGTGAAAGAGATAAGAAGTTTGATTTCACAACTGATTCTATTAATATGAGGTAATAGGAAGTTAGGAACAAAAATACCTCGGCTATATCGTCGGGAAATTGTTCTGAGGTAAATTGGCCAAAAAACTCAACATAAGCATTAATTTGGGCCTAAATAAAAGAAGATGGAGATTGTTAGAAATATTGAAAATGAGTAAAGGATAAGAAGGCAAATGTTTAAAAAACAGAAACTATGTACATGACATAATCACACAGTAAAGACACGGTATCAAACAGGCTAATTAAGCACCCAAAAAAACAAAGAAATGATAGTGTCGTCTATCTCTAACTAAGAAACAAGTGGCACTAATTATTTTCAAACATTTTTAACGAAACAAATTCATGCTTAATCACTATTATATTTCATGAAGGAACTTTATATGCTTTTTTTATTTCCAAAGATGTCCCAGCAGGGTAAAAAGTAAAAAGTAAAAAGTAAAAAGTAAAAAGTAAAAAGTAAAAAAAAAAAAAAACTTCAATATATTTATTAAAACAAACCACACCTTCCGTTCCTCTGTGTCTTGTGGAGGTGGCCAAAACAGTGAGGAGAACTGCAGACTGTCGATCCACCTCTCATTTTGAGTAGCCATAAAATCTTCTTATCTAAACAATTGGGGATAAATAAGAAAATCCATCAAACTCCATATCACCTTATACGAATCCAGGATCAAGCAGATTACAATTCAGCAATTTCTGGCCAAACAGAAAGCCTGTCTAATTTTTTTTATCAGTCAATCCAACAACCTTCAAGTCTAGTTCAAATATCTAAAACACAATTTGGTTATAGATTGTTCCGGCAAACCTGCAAAAACATCAAATACAAATACAATTACCAAAATCTCGCAATAAAACCATGTACTGTTCCTCCAGCACATCAAGTAGTTTGAACTATAGCATTCCCAGAACATAATGAAATTTGAAGTGCAAAAACATAATATTTAGAATTAACAAAAAATGAGAAGATTAATGCATATTGATGAGCACAATAATTCAGATAAATTTTATATAGATTGTGAAAATAACCCAATAAAATCCCTATGCTGATTATCGACTTGCCGTAGTAGACATAAAACAGAGAACACAAAAATATACACACCGAGATTTCTACTATGGAACATGAAACGAAAAAAATCGGCATAATCGTAGAATATGAAGTCATAGATCTCCTTTCTAAGAGGTAATAATTAGTGATTGTGGAACAAACATAAACTGAATCTGGAAAATACATATTAAAACAATAAGAAAATATCTAATTATCAATTCAATTATCATGTCCAAGAACAATATCAACATATATATTCCATATTTCCTAACAAAATAGCGGAAAAATTACTGTCAGTAACAAGTATACTAACAGAAATCAATAATCTGTTTAATCACATATCGTTTATTTTCTAAATCATAAATTTAAACACTCTCAGCACCGCCTTGCCCAACAAATACATTTTCTAAACACAAATTCACCTAATAATCAGCAGTCATCAATTACTCAAGTGAAACAGCATAACTTGCTTTGAAGAAAAAAAATTAAAAAAATAACTTACTGCAAAATGGAAAAAAAAAATTGCAACGCCGTTCAATTTTTGCCGATAAATTTGAAGGAGCTGAAGCAGAATAACTAGTGTTGTCTGAAATTCAAATCGAGTGAGTCAGATGAAGAAGAAAATGTAAGAGATCTCTGGGCGATTTTTGGGTGGAGAGAGATTAGAGAGAGAAAAAAATACCAAACTGTAGATACAAATTTTTATAAAGAGGGGAGGAGAGAGAGAGAGAGAGCAGAGGAAAGGAAATCTTTAACTGCTCTCTCTCACATGCAAACGTGGCGATGATATTTTTCTGATGCCCCTAGTATTATGCCATGGGCCATCCCATGCGAATATGATGACCATGTCATGCACGATGCATCATCATATAAGGGGTTTATTAAAATAAATAGGTCAAATTACAAAGGACCACCTAGCTAAGATCTAATTACGAAAAAGCCCTATTTATTTGCATAATTACGAGCAGCCCCCTGAAGCTAACGGGCTGCAAAAAATTCTAATTGTCTAAAATATCCACGTGTTATAATAATTAAATCAAAGAGTAAAAAATATCGTACATTCATTTTCTATTTTCTTATATTTTGTCCATCATGCAATGTAAAATCTTACACAAAACCTCTTCCGGCACAAAAATGGCTAGTTAATAATAAACAAAAAAAAGTTTTAAAATAAAATTATGAACCTTACAATTAGACTCATAAGGGCATGCTGGTCATTATAAAATGGATGTTCCATAGAATTTATTTGATTCTGTATTGTTAACTCTGTGCGGGTAAATTCGCTAGACGGAAAATACATCACGTGTTGTGCTCGTGTTATGCAAATAAGGATTTTTTTTCGTAAATATGTTATTTTTCTCTAAAATATTGTGTGTGTGCGTGTGTGTTAGGTGGAAATACTTTTTATTTAACACCATTTTTTAGGAATAAATCATGAGAGTGGTGGTATTATTTTATTACCAAAGTGGAACACTCAATTTAGTGAGGCCACTTAGTCGGTTGACAAGGGTCAATCATTCATGCATCTTATTGGTGGCTGAAATTTAAATAAAAATTTATTACAAGGTCTTACTTGGTGCAATTACACTTCATCTTATTAACACATGTCACTTTAACGTGGCAGGGGCGTATTTATTAAAAGGGAGGGGCAGCCGCCCCCAAAAATCTAATTTTTTTAATTGCTTTTTAGCCTAATATTATATAACCATGTATTTTTTCTCTCCTATTTTTATTTTCTTCTCTATTATTTTATGTAATTTTACATTTTTTTTCTATTTGTTATTACAATATAAAATACTACTACTAAATATATACTTTTCACTTCAAAATTATAAATATATACTCATTTTAGAAATGTTTGGTGAATAATTCTTAAAAAAATCCTTGGCACTAGTCCTAAGCTCCGAAAATTTTATCCTAGCTTTAGATGTAGAATTTCTTTAAAAAAATTATAGGCGTAACAAACAAATTACGTTACTGCGTACACGAACAAAAAATTATTGAATATTGTTGGGAGGGGTTTGTTCTGAAATTCGTGTCATGTTGGTTTTCTTAGTACATGTGCATCAACCTGAAAAAATAGTTTTTTTTATAAGTACCCGATAAAATAGTTATTATAAAACGAATGAGTAGTTTAATTATACATATTTCAAATGTTGGTTTTCAAATAATTATTATAATTTCTTTTTGAGGGAGACAATGGATAAATGTCAATTTCAATTTAAAAAAAGAAAAAATAAATTAAAAAATGAAATAATAATATGGAGTCCTCTCCTTGTACTACTATTCCTTTTTCTCATCTTTTTGCTTTTGCTTTTATTATCCAGCCAATAAATCCTGACAAGTGGATGGCGCAAAACCTAGAACTCGGCTTTAAAAGGCAACGGGCAGCACCTGCCCGATTAGCATCCCATCCGACGATAGGTGGATGCAAATGGAGGGATAAGATTCGCGGGCAGCCAAAACACATAAATATCTCCTAGATATTTCCTACCCGTAGAACTAGTTGTACCCAATAGCTACAAAGCATTTGATACTTCTGCCAGCTATTCCATTCTCTCTCTACATATATTAATATATTCGTCTCTCTCTCTAAAAAATAAAATATATCTTGATCGATGATTTGATCTAGTGAACATACGTGGCTGAACCAGATTCAAGTTTAATATCCTATCTTGTGTGATCTAATTGATTGCTGCAACTTGTCCATAAATCAAAGGGGGCCCATCTAGTATGGTGGTATAGCGCTCCATGGGATGGTTACCCTACATACACATACATCATCATACATGCATTTTCATGTGAGATTTACACATACATACATACATACACACAACATGCATCTTTCATGACCTGGTTTTTAATCTTCCCGGTTACCGGTTTCTTGTGGTCCCCGCCGATTTTATTGGTTGTTGTTTCATTGTCCATTAATTTTAATGTTGAAAGTAGCACTTAAGGCCGAAAAATACTTTTTTGGCTTTCTACATTACTGATTGAGTTCATACTATTAGGGTAGGTATGCTAAATTGGTTCTAAGTAGTTTGTGCAAGATTCAAGGATTAAGTACTGGCTGCGGTATGAAAATTTCAACTCTAATAAATGCTGGTTCATTATGGATACGACGCACATATCTACTACTGTTCATCATAACATATTGGATCAGGGGATGGGGCCCTGAGGGCGAAGGATTTCGCCAACTTGTAACTATAAAAATTAAAAAATTAAAGTCTCGTATTATATATATATATATATATATATATATATATATATATTACTTGCTATATTATTTGATTTTATATATGAATTGCGGAGGCCTTCCATTTATTTTTTTATGTCTATTTAGACCAAAATAGAATAAGTCAATAATTTGACCGATTTCACTATCACAAGGCATCAAAACCAACTTTCAATAATGACCCCCCAAAACAACACTTGGCAGCATTATTGATATACTAAACATCACATCCATTGATTAAGCCGCAATTACCAACCTAAGAACAATCTAGAACAAGTTAATGGAACTCGAATGATAGTTATTCTACCTACATTATTATGTATAAATATATAGGAAATAAACAAATAAATAATAAATTAATGAGATAGTGGCCACAGCCCACAGGTTTTGTTAAGTTAAATAAAATAGTTAGTGCAAAGTTAAGTCATCTTTTGTTACAATAGAAAAGAAAAAGAAAAGAAAAAGAAAAAAAAAAAGACAGAAGAAAACACAGCTACCGTACGATCAGCCACGTGGTGCGCTCTTAGCCGTAGGCTTCATTTTGTAATCAATTCGACTGGGGTGGCCCATTATGGCAAGTCATTGGACATAATATTTGGACGGTCCAAAATCAAAGGTGACATTTTGAGTGACCCAACTGTTTCCTTTTTTTGTTTTCATCAAAGTTTAATAAACAAATTACAAAACAATAATATACGTTTTGGACGGTTCAGATATGACGTCTTGATTGAACCAACTTTCGGCTTTATGTATAAAATAAATGTTAGTTAATTTATATGTCTATATAAATCAATATTTTTTAGTTATAATACATAGTTTATTTATTAGGATAGTAGTATGCAGTAATTATAATTTTTGAAATAAAAATTACATGACTTAGATTGATGAGAAACTGCAAACAAAATTTCACTAATTTGACTTAATATATACATTAATAGAACTTATTAAAGGGGCAATTTGCTATAGGTCTCTCTATATTATAATATATGTGTGTAAATCCAAGTTAAAATTTAATGTTTTAATAAATTAATAATATTTATTATGGCAAAAATACCCTTAATTAAATCAAATCAAATCCCAAAAAATCTCTCTATCATAACAAATTCCCAAACATCTCTTTTCCAAATATTAACTAAAACAAATAAATTAATTCATGACAAAAATATACAATTTATTTTACAAACTCATACTCTAAAAACGTCACCGCAGCCCCACCACCGCCTATGATCCGGGAACTGCGACGTCTATGACTCTGCGAACTGCAAATAACAAACTGAAAATTAGATTTTATATTATTGAACTGCAAACAACAAAATACCTATGATTTCGCCAAATGCAAACAACAAACTGAAAAAATAAAATTCATAATTTGTATTACTAAATTACAAACAAAAAATTACATATGACTTCGCCAAATGCAAACAGCAAACTGAAGAAAAACATTCAGCAAAACTTGGATTATTGAATTGCAAGTAATAAACTACCTATGACTTGGCCAAATGCAAACAGCAAACTGAAAAAAAATAAAAAATCAGCATCATTAAAAACATCAACAAAAAATTTGTTTATAAAACAATTTGCAAACAACAAAAATATTAAACGAAATGTTTGTAAAATGTAACTTAATACATACCTTGCAAATTGTAAACCAGATGAATCGAATCTCAACATCAAACGCAATTCTTCAAACAACAAACGCAATTCAACCAACTGCAAACGGAACTTGCTAACAACAAACGATGGGAGGTTCTACATACGGAAAACACAATGCGTGGCTAGAATTTTGGCTTTCTGATTTTTTCGGGAGGGGATGTTTGTCGTCATCTTTAATTCTTTCACAAAGAAATCCTTTCATAATCTAAAAAGATCCTTGTTTTTTTTTTCATCTCTATAATATTTATTCATTAAAAAAAAGAAAACGAAAAAGAAAAAAAAAAAAAAGAGAGAGAAGCACGAGAAAGAGAGAGAGGCGTGAAAATTGAGATGCATAAGGAGAGAAAGATGAGGAATTATATAGGGGAAAGTAACGTGAGATTGGAAAGAGATAGAATATATAAGATTTGCTTTTTTATTAATTGAGGGTGTTATGGTCTATATACTAATTATTTTAATTTATTTATATTACTTTATTGGGTCAAATGACATATGCCTATATTCATCTAACAACTAGGATCTCTAATCATATAAGTCCAAAATAAGGGGTGTGTAGCAAATTTCCTCGTTATTAAAATATTAATTACTATTCATTCAATCTGTTTATGAGTTGCAATAAAAACAGTCCTAAAAGGACTACTAATTGGAAAAATTGTAAAAACTCGAATATTAAATCAACAAGATCACGTGTCACTCATGCCTTTTCCGCGTTCAACGATCACAGTAAACAGACTTTAGCCAGCAAGAACAAATACTAATTTACATTAATTATCAAAAAATAAATAAAAAATAAAATAAAATTACCAATTCGCAGTCGTCCTCAATTTTGCAGATTCAATCACTATTCCATGAAAAACGAAGCTTCAAATGATTCTCCCTCTCCTCTTTCTCTTTCTTAACCTCTCCTTTCTGTTCTACTCCTCCATTGCCAGAGCCCCCGCTAATCACCTCTCTAAACACGCAGGTTTCTCTCTCTCTCTCTCTCTCTCTCTCTCTCTCTCTCTCTCTCTCTCTCTCTCTCTCTCTCTCTCTCTCTCTCTCTCTCTCTCTCTCTCTGAAATAGATTCTCCGTTTCAAATTCGATTGATGAGTATTTTAATTGTAACGGCGAAATCTATGTTTTAGAATAATTTTGATTGTAAGTTAAGGATTTATGTTAGGTTTCTCAATTAGCTTCACAGTATTACTCTAATTAATGTTCTCGGGTAAACGATGATTCGACTATGAGTCCGCATTTTTGTTTATGTTAATATATCCATAAGCTTAATTGAACATCAATAATTAGATCGGTTCAGTCAATATCATGAAATTTTACTCTTTATATAGAGTATGAGTGTAATATAATCGTGATTTGACCCTGGAAATGTAGTTTTTCGTTATATTTTACCTTTATCGAACATGCGAATCTTCGTTCCTAGGTTCGTGTTTACTGTTCATTGATTTATTTAAACTATTGAAGCGGAGTTACTGAAAATGTTGAAATTCTTATATTTGTCAGATTATATTGACAGTATCCATGGGAATCAAGGGAGGCGGTTGTATTCTGATAACTTTCAGATGTCTGAGAAGGAGTACATTGCAATGCTGTAAGTTCTTATTTGGATTTTTCCACCCTCCCTATTCCCTTCTCTTAAGTCGTAGTAGGATTAATTTAGTTAATTAGGTCATTGTACGATGCTTGGGTAAACTCTGAAGCAAGTTGATGTACTTTATATATTTACAGTGAGAAGTTAGCTCAAGGGTATATGAGTAACTCTGATCTTGAGAAGGCAATGAAGGAATTTAACGGCCGGTGTGGTAACATTTCCAGAATATACAGGTAAATATTGAAAACCCTCAACTCGGTCTCACAGAACGTAACTAAGGAGTCAATCAGAGGTCATTAAAGCACCATAAACAGGGAATATATTGTTTTCGGATATGGATGATATCACCAGAGTAACTAACTCTAGCTACCTGTTATTATAATATTAATAATGTAGGTCTCTGTCTGGATATTTTTTCTGTGTTACATAAGAATGATTATGGTATTGGCTGTTGGAGAATTAGTTTCTCGATTTTGGAGGAGTTTAGACAATCTTCTTGAGAGAGTAGTATTAAACATGATACAAAGTGAATAGAGATTATAATATAAAATGGGACTCGCAGCATAGTACACTCTGCTAATGTATTCGATCGTGTGTAGATGTTTCAGACACGATGCACTTTGTCAGTAAACAGAACTTATTTTAGGGGGAACTGAAATTTAGCTAGTTTCTTAAGATGCTGGTAAGAAGTGATTAATGAACCGAACTCTGAACATATTCAGTCATTACTTTGTTTGTATTGTTCGTGGATTTGCAATGATCTGATATATTCCGGTTTCTCACTTTGAGGGATTATGGGAATTCACAACCAGTATTGGAAAGAGTGTACTTGGAGTTCCTCTGGTACTACTGCTTCTTCTCAAACAATTATTTTTTAATTTTTGTAAACAGTTTGTCAATCTGTTTTTCTGATAGTTATAAACTGTAAAATATTAATACTTTACTCATTGTCTTCGTTTTTTAACACAGTGGGCGATAGAAATATCTGACAAGCCCGGTGAATCAGAAGCTGAGCCGGCTTTCAAGGTACTGTATTTGACCATCATTCACTTGTGACTTTCTTCAACTGCCCTGCCCATAAAGTTACTTCCACAAATTACGTCGAGCAGAAATGTTTGCAGAAGGAAATTTAAAAATTAATTTGACAAATGACAATTGACAAGTGTTGATGTCCTCCATCAGTTACTCTATTGACCATCTTGTATTATTGCTGGATGGAACTAGTAGCGAGGGGTTATTGAATTCTAAGTAAAAAAGGAAATATGTCTCGAAGGAGTATTTTAATATTAACCGAATGATTGACTGAGTGCCTTAATATTGCAGTTCATCGGAAATGTGCATGGTGATGAACCGGTAGGCCGTGAACTTCTGCTGCTTCTAGCAAATTGGCTGTGCGATAATTATATGAAGGACCCCTTGGTAATACCTTCTTGTCCCCTTCGTTTCTTATTTTACCATTGAAATTCATTACCTTATTATCTTGTTTGATGATTACTATAAGTTTGTGAAAAAACGGGTGAGCTTCACACATATTGATTTCCTATGTTGAAATCCTGCTCATTCAGAATGCCTTTTGGCTTGTATGTTCAGCATGCATAACTGAGTCTGATGTAATCTTAATGTGATTTTCCCAACAGGCAACCTTGATTGTGAAAGATGTCCACCTTCATATACTTCCGTCCATGAACCCTGATGGATATTCTCTGAGGCGGCGTGGCAATGCAAATAACATTGATTTGAATCGTGATTTTCCCGACCAGGTATATCATGCTGCAGTATGTAATTCTTAGCACTAACTTCAGTATACTGCATAGAGTTGGATAATGAGTTTCATTTTAAATTGATAAAAGTTTCTAATCGTTTAATGATGCTTTCTTATTTATTAAATTTCTGGCATTATAAAAATAATCAAAACTGATTAGCTGCTCATAAAAGAGAACACGAGTAATATAACATTTGCTAAATATACCTTCAAGTACTCTTAAGAAAAGATGCAATCTTGCAATTTGCAAATAGTTTTTGTTTTTCCTTTTTACTTTTTTCGTTTTCTAACAGCATCATGGCTAGTTTGGCTTGCCTCATTGTATTAGAATTGGGACCACGCATCATAAAGAGCATTGATTGACATGATTGAAACAGTTCTTTCCTATGAATGATGATATGGATTTACGACAACCTGAAACCAAAGCAATCATGAATTGGCTGGAAGGTGTACACTTTACAGCATCTGCGAGTCTTCATGGGGTAATGTTCTTCTCTTGATTGAAAACTTGGGAAGTTGAAAAATGAGCTGAGAACAATTTCATCTCAGTGGAGTTATATCCTATATTCTGAGGGGAAAGCATAATATTGTAGTGCTTATTTGAATTTTAGAGATTCATAATTGATTTAATGACTGTGATCCATCAAGATAAGTAGTTTTAAAAAAATTGGTTGATTAAATGCTCTCGTATAAGGAAATAAAGAATCTATAGAAATAGTTATTTGAATTTTATTGTCAACAATCACTGCTTTTGTTTGTTTAATCTTTTCTTGAACACAGGGAGCGCTGGTTGCGAACTACCCGTGGGATGGAACTGAAGATAGAAAGTGAGTTTTCTGAATTAATTCCTTTTGAATATGGGGTTCAGATATCTGTTTTTTCAAGTCATTTATTTCTGTAGTATACTAGTCTGAAAGTGTGTGCTTATATCAAAAGTTGACGCTGACTGCAAGCTTACAACTGAGGTTGCTTAGTACAAAAACAGAAATGCCCATGAAGTATTAATAACAAGGAATTTGTATATCATGTTCTAAAATTTTCTGTATCACTTTCGACTGTTTTTTAACAGATTAATGTTATCTTAACTCTTTGCAGGAAAAATTACTACGGATGCCCCGATGACAATACTTTCAGATTTCTGGCTAGTTTATACAGTAAATCCCACTACAATATGTCCCTAAGCAATGAATTTCCAGGGGGGATTACAAATGGAGCAGCCTGGTATGCTTGTAAAGTATAATCCATTGTATTTATATTTTGACAAGCCCTTCAAAATATTATGATTTCATGAATCTTTTCTGCACGCCATTATGAGAAATATTGTAGATGAAAGTCTATATTTTACTAATTCCCGTTTCATGTGCTCTTTTGCAGGTACCCAATATATGGTGGCATGCAAGATTGGAACTACATTCATTCTGGATGCTTTGAGCTTACCTTGGAGATTAGTGACAACAAATGGCCTAATGCCAGTGAGGTAAGATGTAAATTCATATTAGCTAGAGCTTCATTAACTGCAATCTGCAAAGTTCAGATCCTGTCCACTTCTAAAGCGCAAATGAAATAATACCTTATTGTATATCTTTTTGATCCAGTAAATTGGATTGTTCTGCTGATATTCAACAACTTTTCTTTTCTCTCTCTAATATTTCAGTGTCTAATATTGCACCATATCACTGCATTTTCTAATATTGCAGCTTCCAACTCTATGGGAATATAATAGAATGAGCATGCTAAACCTTGTTGCGGGTCTAGTAAAGGTATGTTCAGCCATATTTCTGTTAGTTAAAACTTAATACCACTTTACGTGCATTCTAGTTTTGCAGTCCTTTTTTTAGGATCGGTGGTCTGTTCATTTGGTTGAGTTATAAGTATACGCTATCAATATTTTGTCAAATCTTTTCTAATTTAGTGGCAAGCATATTTTTGAAAAACAAGAAAATACTATTCTTATGCATCACAAGTTTTGAATAGCATTCATTGATTTGTCATTCGAATAGAGATAGGGAATACAATTTACACTATTCCTTATGCTCTGAGTTTCAGAAACTACAAGTAGGCGCTTTGTTATAGTTGTATGATTTTATATATTTACAAGTGGGATTCGCCTTATCTTACTGCGCTGACATTTTAAGCCCACAGACAGGACTGCATGGAAGAATAATTTCATCGGAAAATGGAAGACCTTTGCCTGCTTCATTAGCTATCAAGGGAATAAATTACACGGTATGATCACATACTGCACATGTGCACTATCATCTAAATGCCTAAAATCTATCAGTTTTAGTGGATAATACTTGCCGGTATGTCATTTTTTGGTATTACTGACAGATTGCTGCTGGCAAAAAGTTTGCTGATTACCATCGATTGCTAGCTCCAAAAGAAAACTATGAAGGTAAAGTTGAGAATAACGAACTAATAGTATTATAGTAGTCAAACTGAAGTGCATGGTCGTCATTTCTTCAATGTAGCTAAGTTGCAGTCGTGCTTTAACTGCATATTGACGTCAATACATCCTACAGCTGAAAATTTTCAGTGAAATTTCTTTTTGTTTACATTCCATTACATCGTAAACTAGTTTTGTTCCAAAATATAGTTCTTTCCTTGGTCCAGAAATGAACCTTGAATTTTTTTATTTGCAGTTATTGCAACCATGCAAGGATATAGATCAAAGATTGCTTGTGTTATGCTTGGTGAAGGAGCAGTAACAGTAGATTTTGTTCTTGATCCTGAGACCACTCATGAGGGTAGTCAGCTTCTAGAAGATTCCGGTTGCTACTTTGAGAGCAAGACCACTCTCCAAATGATCGATTTTTTGCCAGATCCGCAGTTGGAAGTTTTTCTACTGACTTTTTCGGTTTTAGGATTTCTTTTATTCTTAGTGAAGTGGAGAGCAAAACTAGTTCATCCGAACCAAAAACAGACTCCAGTGCCCAAACGTGCTGTGGTATGAGATATAATACTTTTTCTATCCTATTTACATCCATGATATTGCTCCTTTTCTCCTCGTTAGTTTTCTGCCTCTTATAAAGCTAAATTCCCACGCCAATAGCTGATTTTTCTTTTTTCCGTTTTCTTTTGTAAAATTTTCGCTGTCAATCTGTCAATTAACCAGGTTTGATATTGTCCGTGCTCCATTTTCTTGGGATATAGCATGAAGAAACATTAATATACTTAGTTGTACATTCTATTTACTGTACTTGTAATCTCATGAATTGTAACAGAACCTATTACATAATATGCGGTCCAACGAATTATTCTAGAAAAGAGAAAAAAAAAAAAAAGATATGATGATGTTGAACCTTCGATGGAGATGATTGCATATCTCTCATACAATGTTACAAATTGTATATATTCACAACCACTGATATAAATCTAAAGTATTTGTTCACATAGATTAGTTACACAAGAGTGGTTATTAACAGTGAACAAAACTGCCTTCAATTTACTAGTTTCTCGATGATAGACGACGAATGCCATTTACAGAAGTAGTTTAGAATCTAAAATTGCTTACCGATGTAGAATGAGAGGACGGGATGCTTAGCAACACATTAACTACGCATCACATTAACTCCCCCAAGATGCATCCTACAAAATCAGTAAGCCCAAGGAATCATTGTTGCAGACTTTTCATACCTATTGTAGGAACAAATAACAAGATAAAAAGTCGAAGACTCAGACAAACAAAAAATATATTGCACATTATTTTCTACTAAAGATTTTACATAGTGATATCCGTCACAGGGATCTCTATTCTCTACTCACCTCTTGTGATCTAAGCCAGCAGAAATCCGTCACAAGGTCATGTTCCTCAATTTCGGCATCGGTAAAAATGAGTGCTCGTTGCAACTTTTTAGGAGAAAATACTTCAACTTCCACCATATAGGAGGCAGTCACTGGCCGGTGGTCAGATAGCTTGACTTCAGATCTCTTGTAGCTTAGCAGCCTCATTCCTGTCCCGAATGAGAGGATCCTATCGCACCTGGTAAAAAAGAAAACCAAAGTTTTTACTTCCTTTCATTTATACTTTTATTAACAGGAAAAAAATTAAAAGAAAAAAAAACGAACTGAAAGTAAGAAATGAACAAGCAACTAGATCACAGTAAGGAATTGAAATATGACACAGATCCAAAAATGGAAAAACGAATCAAGAGATAAGATTTTGGTGGAGAAAATGGATACCATGCAGGTGTTCTTCTTCCAGCCTTTGGATCCTCACTTATGTAAGACTCGGAATTAAACTCGTATTTGTAAGTTGGAGCAAAGCTCAAAGAACCTTCGGACCATCCATCAAATACACGGCCTTTCTTAAGCTCTTTGATTAGCTGCAAAACAAGGCAGATAGAAACAAATGTATTAGGCCCAAGAAAAGCCAGAATTTCCCTCGACGTAACAAATATTTAACATCAAAAGCCGGAAATAGCAGACTTGATCTCACCAATCGCAGTTACCTGATCACACCTAACTAACTTGTCCCATTCCTTCTTGGCAACTAGGTCTCTTGTCTTCTGATAAGACAAATTGATTCGATAATTTAGGTCACCCAGCCAGATAATTCTCCTGCCACAGATTACAGCTGTTACCTTCTCATTTTCATTTTTAGTAAATTATAGAAATACTTCGCGTGAAAAAAAAAAAATAGATCGGCAAAAGAATCTGTCAATTCCTTTTAACTTCATAAAGCCCTGGAAAAAAAAATATCTTACTCATGATCATATATTCTTTGAGGAAGCCCCAGAGCTGAGAGCGAACTGAAACGTGTCCGTTTATGAATTTCACGCACATCAGCATTTCTCTTGACCACATCCCCATCTTTCTCTCCAGACGTTAAATGAGTACAGATAAAACAGAACAGTGTCTGATGTATCGACATGCTAACCGATATTGATCCCTGGAAGTAAAAAAAGTGAGCATGTTATGCTATTTTGAATCATCGAAAACGACTTTATAAACAAATCACAGTCCTAACTCCTAACATATAATAAATGAAAGACAAACTGATCTGAGCATGGCCCACAAATACATGAGTCAACTTTAGAAATCAATCAAGTAGACAACAGTAAGAATACATAATAACTGCAGTAGTAACAGAAACGAAAGTTCGAAAAAATACACTGATAGAGCTTCTTCTTTGAAGATAAAATGATCTATAAGTCTGGAAGGAAGAGCTCACCTTATTGCCAATATAGCCCATGAGACCAACACCAACCGTAGACACATTGAGGTTCTGTACGTGTCTTCGTAAGCTCCTGCGGACCCATATTGATATAAAAACTCCAACCATTTGCTTGCTCACTATCCGAACATACGGCGGCCTTCTTTTCCGGCCTATCACGGACTCAAGATCGAGTTCAACAAGAGACGCTATCTCAAATCTCCTTATATTTTCAGTCGTCATGTTCGATCTGAAAGAACTATAAGTCCTGAAAGATTTCGAAGTTTTTAAAGATTTCGAAGTTCTGAAAGTTCTTGAAGATTTGAAAGATTTCGAAGATTTGAAAGATTTGAAAGATTTGAAGGTATTAGGTTTGTCTAAACCATGCTGAGGTAAGAGATGAAGTGGCGGCTCTGGCCAGCTTAAGCCTATTCTTTCTGTCTTGCTAAGTGTTCTGGTTAATTCAATGTACTGAGATTTTGGGGTTTCGATATTGTCTTCAGAATCATCATCTATTTTTAAGCAATTGATTCTCTCCAGCCTTTTCGGAGAAGAGAATCGACTGCTCCCCTCGTCATATTCCATTGACTTGCTAAAACTGTTACTATTGTTGGAGACAGAGGCATCTGGACTTTCTTCAACAATTCCATCCTCGATTTCGGACAAATCACTTAGCTCTTGAATCAACGGGTGGATTTCATCCTCAATATCACTGTCGGATTCAAGCACAACTTCATCTTCTATATCTGGGGAATCTTCAAATGGCTTAAACCTCGACGGAGAAGCAGGATTGCTGTAGCTTTTGAACCTAGTAACCGGTGGAACTCGATTCAGAGTTTCGCGGATTATGTTTTCCCATTTCGAAATCGGGCGGTTGTCCTCAGAACCAAATATATTGCCAGCATTTAATGGGATGATCTCCTGAAGGCTACAAACACATATAAAACACATCACGGATAAGATTTTACTGTTAAAAATTTCTCTGTGCAAAACAGTGTAAACAACTTACCCAATTACATAAATATCAGCAGGGTCGTCAATATCTAACCAATCATCAAGATTTAGATCACGAGGAGGAACTCTTCCCCCAACATTCCACGTGGCAGCACATATCCTTGTAAAGCCAAAAACAATAAAATCGAAATCAAACCCTCACTGTTTGCTAACTCAACCTACATACATACTTGTTTATTTTATTTATGCCAGTAGTCATTTGGATCATGAAAATGCATTGATATATATAATACCTGATTTCCTTGGCGTTAATATATTGAGCTCGAAATGTTTCCGATTTTCGTCGTCTTAATCTGGGAAGAGCCTCTGAGTTTCAACATCCAAAAAAAAAAAAAAAAAAAACCAATTCGTCCTGGTAAGTAAAATAGCTTTACTTAAGCTTCAAATCAATCACTCATTTAATTTTTATTTTATTTACCCAAATAAATCGAAAAAAATCCACACATTATGAGAAGTATAGAGATGGAAAAGGAATTAAGTTACCATCAAAATCAACCTGAGGTTCATCATCAGCTTCAACACTCGTGAAACCGGTCTCTTTTGGCCGATCACGAAATTCTACAAAAGCCGCCAAAAAAAATAATTAAAAAAAGATAAGATGAACAGTGTACGGCAAAGGCAAAAAAAAAGGAGCGAGGATCTAAAAAAAACCGACCAAACCTTGTTGTTCGGAATCGGATTCGCTGTCGTCGGAGTAGTTGTTGTTTGCTCTGTTAAGCCACTTGCGCACCACCAGGCGCCGCCACCACAACTGCAAGCCAAAACGACGATGTTTCACTCTCAATCCACTGCAAACCGCCTCTCGATCTCACAATTAAATAAATTAAAAAAGTAGAAAAAAAATCCGAAAAACACAAATAACTTTAAAAAAAAAATTGAAAACTCAAAAAATGGAGAATGAAAGTATTACATCGCGCTGCTGGTGGTGGTTTCTCTTGTGCTCAGTCTTCATATGAATTTGAACGGATATTCAGTAGGGGCAGAAGAAGGGAAAAAAAAGGACAAAAAGATAGGCTTCACAGAAATTCTAGAACACACACCAAAAGTGTGAGAAATTGAGAGGAATGATGGGACAAGGGTTAGTGCGTTGTTATGCCCCACGGCTAACTGCCATTGTACGCACTTGCAGCCTGCTGAACAGATTGCTCCGTATATCTTTTTATATATAACGGTATATTTCTTTTTCCTTTTTTTTTTTTTTTTTTTTTTGAGTGGGAAAAAATTAGTTACAATTTGACTGGATGATTAGTGGATTAATTAGTTGGTTAACTAAAGAGATTGAATTAATTAGTAATATTATAATGTAGTTCAACGTGACGTGACTGTAGTGTCAAATAAAATGGGGGGATACCCCGTTCGGCG